TTGGTTTTTATTAATGATTGATAATAGCACAGTTAATGTCATTCCTGAGAATTAAATCTTTTGCATAGTTAAATAGGTACAGCTAGTTTAAAAAACATGCTTATATATCCATTAATTGATTATTTTGGAGCACTTTCAGTGGAAATTAATGTATGCACATTATGCCTTTGAATTCAGAGCCTAAATTTATAGTGTTGCTGTATGACAGCTTATGGAGTTCTTAGGAAAGTCAGTATTATAACTGGTTTTCTTCTGTGTTACCTATGACAGAGCTAGTATTCTCTTCATAATATCTTGCTGAGAGTACAACTGCTACTCTTCTAAGAAACTTTCCAAGACTTAAATTATGTAAGTATCTTTTTGTTTTGGCAGATCTGTGTAAGAATTGTCATCATGTAGTGGCCCGGCATGAGTATACATTCAGTATCATGGATGAATTTCAGGTAAATATATGAATGTGGGTTGGCATGGGGGGGATAATAAAAGTAACCTTGAAAATCTAGGTATAGTTTTTATAAATGAAGTACTAGCAACTGTTAAAGATCTCTCTTCTACTTGTGCAGATTGAGACAGAAACTTTTAAATGTGGGTAGAGCTGTGAAAACCTGTTTTATAAATCAAAGTGTGTCATTGCTAATGATACCTCAGTCCTGTCTTTTTATTTATAAAGCACGATCTGTATGGCTTCTTAGGAAATTATTATTGTGCTTCCTTTTACTCTGCCCACTATGCAACTGCACAGTTGTTGGCTGTAAAGTTTGGCCTTTTCATGCCACATACTTGCTGGGCGTGGAAGTCTTGTCTTTTCTTTCCCTTTTTTTTTTCTTTTCTTTCTTTTTTTTTTTTTTTTTTTTTTCTTTCTTTCTTTCTTTCTTTCTTTCTTTCTTTTTTTTTGTCTTGAGGTAGGGTTTCACTGTGCAGTTCAGACTGGGCTTGAACTCAGAGATCCTCCTGTCTCAGCTTCCTGAGTGCCAAGATTACAGGCATGCACCACCACACCTGACCTTGGAAGTCTTGATAAAGACTTTGTTTTCCTAGCTGGCATATGGAGTTGAGCTGCTCTGTAATTATAGTACAGCCTACAGAGATATCTTAATATCATTTGTTCAGTAAAATTGCAAGGTGAATGTATCAAGTTTAGAAGAGGGAAACTGAACTAGTAGAAGATAAGGGATTTAGTATAAGGTTTGGTTTTCATGCAGTTGTGAGAGCAGTGGAAGAATTCTATGGGCTTCTGTGGCCTGTAGTATAGTCCTGAGGTTGCACATTCACAAATACCATGATCTCTAGAAAGCTGGACAGCAGATGAAGCCTGGGCCAGTGATGGCGAGCCTTTGAGAGCTTTCAGTGGTAACAAACAGTTGCTATAGGTTTGCCACCACTAGCCTAGGACAAACTGGAGCCTTTGATTCCCTTGTCATCTCCATTTTCAAGCCTTTAGATTGAGTTACTTTATTTTGTATGAAGTACATAGTTGTCCATAGGATATAAAAATTAGGTTACTCTGGGCATGGTGGCTCACACTTATGACTGTAGCACTTGGGGGTTGTGCAGGAGGATTGCAAGTTCAAGGCCAGGGTGGACTACATAGGGCAACCCTGTTTCAAAATACCCAGGATAACTTATCAGATTAGAGCCTTTAACAGTCAAGGGAAAGGCTGAGGGTGTAGTTCACTGGTAGACTGCTGCCTTTTACGCACAAGGCCCTGGGTTTAATCCCTAGCACTGACAGAAAAAAAAGAAAAAAAACTGTAAAGAGAATTTTGTCTTTTTGACTAAAAATATGGGTAGTGCTTTAATTAGGAAAAACAAAGCCTCCCATAACAGAGTAATAAAATAGTGCAAGTCCTCTTATTTATGTTTTCTTTAATGTGGAAGAAAGTGTTTAGCTTCCCATCATAATCTGGTCTGATATGTAGTAGTTAATCTAAGTAACATCCAAAGTACTAACTATTCAGCATTCAAAAATTATGCCTAAAAGATACTTAGAGGGCTGGCTGGAGGTGGTAGAGGGCTTGCCTAGCATATGTGAGTCCCTAGATTCAGTCTCTAGCGCTGAAAAAAAACATACAGTGATACCTCAGTTCATGAATGCTTTTGTTTACAAACAACTTGGCTCATAAACAAGCATTTGGTAAAATTTTGTTTTTGTTTGCAAACTCTGCATTGGGTGACATACATGACTGCAGCGATCTTTCCCACATGAACACAAACGTGGCCATCTTTTGTAGAATCGTGGAATGAGTGAAGTTTGTGAACCGAGGTGCCACCACTGTATTTATGTGACATGTGTGGTTTAAGGCAAAAATTAAGATCACTGTGAATGAGCAGAGATAAAATAGAGGAATGAACATCTCAAGGGCTTAAAGAAACAACTCTACCTTTTTATGAGACGAAAGGAGTACTTACAGCAATTTTCCATAAGCCTTTGTGAGCCTTTTGGAACACTGAATGCGTGTGGAGATTGCCTGTTTATGTCCTCACTGATCCACTGTAAATCATTGCCATAGATCCAAGTTTCCTTGATTTTCCTTTGACTGAATGTGGCCATTTTCGGAGATGTCCCAGAAATTTCTGGGTAGGGTAGGGAAAATAAATGTAAAGGAAGATGACTAGTGTTTACAGTGCCTAGATAGTGTGAATTTGTGTTAGAGAAACTCTTAGCCAAGTATGGTGGCGCACACTGGTAATCCCAGCATTCTGGGAGGCTGAACCAAGGTGCTTCAAGTTCAAACCCAGTCTAAGCAATTTAGTGACTTAATAAGACCCTGTCTCAATATTTACAACAGTTTTTAAAAGGTGCTTGAGTTATAGCTTAGTGCAAAGGCATGGGGTTCAATTCCTAGTACCACCAAAAGTTTTTTTTAAAAATGCTCTTAAACCAAACTCTTGCTGGATGTAGTGGCACATACCTGTAATCCCATCACTCAGAAGCTGAGGCAAGAGGATCACTGCAAGTTCAAGGCTAACCTGGGCTACATAGTGAGCTTAAGGCCAGCCTGCACTACAAAGGGAGACCCTGTCTCTAAAACAAAACAAAAAACCCAGACTCTGTACCTCATCTTCTTGCTTGCTCTCTCACTCTCGCTCTTTCTCAACATCCACTGTCCCCACCATATTCTGTATGTTGTCATCAGATGATTTTTCTTAAATGATTTTCAGGCCACCTCCTTGGCTTTTCCGAAGCTCATCTTTGGCTGTAATATGATATCAAATCTCCTTTTCTCAAGACTCCTACTGGCTGGGCTGTCTCGGTTTCCATTTATATATCTCATTTTTTGTGAGTCTTCCTTAAGTATACTATATGGATATAACATTGTCCCAACTTTAGACCCTTCCTTCCTTCTTGGATAGGAAGGTTTTTATTTCCTCCTTGCCAATGCTACCCTACCTCATTACCTCATTTCCTTTGGAGTCACATCTTCTATGTTAGCATCCCCTTTTATGGAATTTTTTTAATTTTTTCTTTTTTTGAGACAGTCTCACACTTAGTCCAAGTTGGGCTTGAATTCACTATTTAGCCCAGGCTGGCCTCAAACTCAGGACAGTCCTCCTGCCTCAGCCTTCTGGGTGCTAGGATTACAGGCGTGCACCACCACATCCTGCTTTGGGAATTTAATTTTTTTAACATTAAACATATTTGTTCTTTATTAAAAGTAAATTTTAAAAACGGCATGGTTTCTCATGCCTATAATCCTAGCAATTGGGAGGCTGAGGCAGGAGAATTGTCATGAGTTCAAGGTCAACCTGGGCTATATTGAAATTCAAGGCCAGCCTGAATGAGTGAGACCTTGTCTCAAAAAACAACAAACAAAAACAGTTTTTAACTTTCTACTGACATACTTCTGTAATTTATCTGTAATCTTCTCTTTCCTTTTGCTTGTTTACTTGAATAGGTCTTTACCCTTTTCTTTATTTTCTTATATTCCTCTTAATTACATACAAACTGGTTTTCATTTTTACTTGACTAAAACTAGCCACCCAAGGTTTCCCGTAATCTAAACAAATCCTGTGATGTTTTTTGCCTCTGTTCTTAACTCTCAACATCTTTTCTGGATCTAGTTTTGTTAACCATTGTCTTTTTGTAGCATTTCATCCCTTGGGTTCCATAGTGCTTGGCTGACTTTCCTTTAAAATCATTTGCACTGCTTCTTTGCATTTTCTCTCTTTTCTTTGCTATTTTCCTCTGATTTCTCTGAACTTTGGTCTGTGGTCTGGAACCTTCTCTGTTCTCCCTCATGGAGGCCATGCATGAGTATTCAGTCTCTTAGATGAGATATCTGTCAGATCTCCTTCCCTGACCCTAACCCTGAGCTGTCCTCCTTTTGTCCTTTGTTTGTCTTGCTTTTTTCAAGCTTGACAACAAGCCTATGTCTGCCATGTGAAGGACCATACCCGCCCAAACCTAAGTTAACGCCACCGTGGAGTTAACCTCAGTAAGTGTGTTGTTCTGCACTCGCCTGCTAACACCTCTCCAAGTGCAGCTTCTTTCCCTCTTACTCCATGGGGGACCCGCTTCCTGTTTTCTGTATTGCCGACCTTTGTGCTTTTTCCTTGATTTGAAATGTCCTTTTCTGTGCATTCAGCCCAATTAAATCTTACCTCTTTCTGGTGGCTCTTGAATTGTATCGTCTTGTCCTTGATGGTGCAGCCTATGCTGTATTCTCCCTTTTGTGAACTTTTCTCACACTTGCATCAGGTCCTGAATCAAGTGAATGGCCACTTAGGCACTTCTTCCCCAGCCTGATAACCCCATTAAACTTTTCATTCTCAGCTGCTGTGACACATCCTTGTCCCCACCCTTTTAATGTATTGTGAATATCTTATGGGAAATTTACACATAGTCGCAAGTATATTAACGTCTACTACCTAGCTTTGGGTTGCTTTATGTATACTTCACCATTCCCATAGCTTCCCACAGGATTATCGTGAGGTAAATCCAAAACATCACTATTTCTATAAATATTTCATTGTATATCTCTAAATGGTAAGAATTCGGTTTTTAAAACAATTACAATTATTGCACAAGGTAAGAGTCTTCTGATGGCAAGACTGTAGGTGAAGGCGGAGACAGAAGTACGGAGTTTAAATGGAAGATACAAGTAGTTACAGTTATTGTTGTTTGTCAGAATCCACTGGTAAAAGCCCCTTAAGTGCACTATGTGTTACCTCCGGAAACAAGAGGGCAGCTGTTTCAGGAAAGCTGAAACTGCTTTCTTTCCTTCGTGGGCTACAAAAGGAAAGGAGAAGAGAGGGTGTCAGAACTGAACAGGGATGAACAGGAAAAAAGGACCAAAGGACCTTTCAGATAAAGGATCTGACCTTACCACAAGGTGCTTTTGCCACACCACTCCCTTCTAAGTCCTTATCCCTAGGTCCTGCCCAGGTGGAGCCTCTGAGGGTCCCTTGGATGACTGTAGGGTTTTATTCTCCCAACTTACAGTTTTGCTAAAAGGTGACCTAATCCCGTCTCTATTCTTGGCAGCACAGAGACCTGTGTTTCCAGCATCCTTTGTTAGAATCCTATTCACACCTTCCCAGAGAGCACTGCTATATATGACTAGAGTCTATAGCACTTAAACAACATCAGTTTAAGAGTTTCAGATATTCTTGGGAACCTAACTGCCACAAATATAACGTTACCTCCGTGGGAAACTGTTTTTGAATTCCAGCCAAGTGACTTACGATGAAGTTTGTCTAGAAAGCTGATAAGTTAAAGATTACAGGTACAATCAGTCCCACTGATTGAGTTATCTTGCCAGATTATAGTATCTGTTTGATTTATTTTTTTCTTCCAAGATAAATTATAAATTTTTTAAGATCAAACTTTGTCCTTGCCTTCTTTCATATCTGCCAGTGCACCTAGTGCAACATAGGCACCTAGTATAAACTTGTCAAAGAATAGATTGTTGAAAACTCAGATATTGTCTAACGTCTCCCATTTTCCCTTTTTGATTCTATTACTTTTCTCATCTGTAAGAGGTTGCCATCCCCACTAGTAATGTGTCTTAGGATTAAGTAGTAGAAGTGCTTGAGAACAGTAAAAGATCCTAGCATGGATTTTTATTTTATTCTAATTTCATGGGACTAGTGTTTGTTCTCTGAACTCTAGCCTCCATGTATTTCTACTGTGTATATAAAGTAGACTTGAAAATAAGTGTGAGAACTGGGGATGTGGCTCAGTGGTAGAGCACTTATCAGCCATGCACAAGGCCCCAGGTTCAGTCTCCAGCACCATAAACAAACTTAAGAATTGTGGTCTTAACGAAGTAGTTTTTCTGCTGCTGGAGCTAAGCTCCCTGAATGAATTCCAGTGGGAAATGGAACGGCAGTTGTCTGCTTCTCAGTATGTTCTGTTGCTGCTGCTTATTTGTGTGGTCCTTTCTAGTGACTGCTCACTAGACCCAAGAAGCACAAACTGCCTAGACTGATGAATTTCCAGACAGCTAGCAACATTGTGTGAGGAACTACTGGCAGATTAAACACAGATGTGTTCCTAAAGAAGAGAAAAAAATTAATTAAAAAATGTGTCTCTGTAGTTTATGACTATTATTAAATATTCCTGAAAGGGACAGCCATATGAATAGGACTTTGCCCTAAGGATTTTTGCCTAAAATAAAATACCTCTCTCACCAGTCTGGACATCTGTTAAGCCCAAGAAACATAAAAACTTTAAATACATGAAATTGTGGGCAATTAAACATTTAAGTATGAGGTATGGCATTCTAGTAAATTTAATATACTTGTTTTTTTTTTTTTAGAATAGATAAAAATAGCATTTTCAATTTGAGAATTTTGTTCCCTCTTTTTTTTTTTTTTCCTCCTACTGCATATTAGTGTTAAATATTCTAGAAAAGAACAGTTCTAAGAACAGAAATTCGTCCTTATGGGCCTACACTCAAACTGTTCAAGTACTAAGTTAAATGTGTGTGCTAAGACCCAGAAATAGCCATTTCCAAGGTGATATTCATGTATATGTGTTAAACAAGAGCATCAGCATGTATTCACTTATGTAAACAAAAGACTCCGGGGACTACAGAATAAACCTGAAATACTGCTTAACGGTGTTTTTGTTTTGTTCTGTTTTTTGTTTTTGGTCTTTTTGAGACAGTGTCTCGCTAGGCAGTTCAGGCTGGCCCTGAGCTCACTTTGTAGCCCAGGCCGGTCTCGAATTCACAAGGATCCTCCTGCCTCAGTCTCCTGAGTGCTGGGATTACAGACATGCGCCACCACCCCTGGCTGCTTAATGGTATTGAAAAAATTGATCCAAGCTGGGAGAAGAGATCAAATGCCTATAATGCCAGCTACTTGGAGCCTGAGGTAGGATCACAAGTTTAAGGCCAGCTGGGCATCTTAGTGAGATCCTGTCTCAAATTTTATAAATACATACATACATACATACATACATACCCACACAAGCAAGCCTGAGGATATAGTTTAGTGGTAGAGTATGCCTGAGTTCCATCCCCAGCAGCACTGAAAAAGGAAGGAGGGAAGACGGAAGGAAGAAGAGAAGGAAAGAAGGAAGGAAGTTACAGAATGTTCAGAAAGAATATCTATGACAGTTTATAGAGAAGAACTTTACCAGAGTTGGTTAGGAAACATTTTGCTGTCCCTTGCAATAATTCTGCACTTTGTCTTGTTCTAGGAGTACACCATGCTGTGTCTGTTATGTGGCAAGGCTGAAGATACTATCAGTATTCTCCCTGATGACCCTCGACAAATGACTCTGTTATTCTGAGACTCCTCCAGTTCTGTTATGCCTGTGTTTGGTTGGTTTACAGTGCAGCAAGCCTGATAGTTTATCTCATAGAGAATGTTCTTTGTATATTTTTTTTCTTTCCTAGGCGTACGTGTTCTTTGAAACAGAAAGTGATTCAAGGGATTGTTGTTCCCTAGAGCTGAGTTCTAATGCTGAGGTTCCCAGTCACGTGAGAGCAGCCACACTGAGACATTTTTGTTAGCAGTCATTTGGCCAGAAAAGAATTTGAATGAATGCACACTTAGTGTCCAGATCTTGGTTTCTCATAAAAGAACCAGGATTTCTTGGAAAGTGGTTGGTGGAGTAGGGCAGCAAATATGCAAGGTGGGCCTGAAGCATCTTGGGCCTCCAGAAATTAAATTACTAAAATTATTTTAAAATCTGTGATTGAGCCAGGGATTTAGCTCAGTGGTGCAGTGCCTACCTGGCAAGCATGAGGTCCTGAGTTCGATTTCTGGTACCCCCCCCAAAAAAATAGGAGAGGTGGGTATTTTCCCTAAGTAAATATATATTCCCTAAATAAATATTTCTAAAATCTGTCACTGACAATATGTCAAACAAAAGGGCCAAGTGAAGGAGTTCCCAGTGATTAAAGCTGGACCTGAGACAGACAGGGAGCCTGACTCTCATTTTCCCTGTGCCAGCTGGAGGGGCGGGGATGTGACTGGGCTGGTTGCCAGCCTACCCCCTTGCTTCCCATTGTCCCCCCGTGAACCCCAGTAAACTGGGTCAGTTTGCTTCCTTGTCCTTCCTGGCTGATCTAGTGGTGTACTCATTGGCTATCAGACCACCATTCTCCAGTCCAGCATGAGTGCGGCCAGGCACATGTGCCCTTTCTCCACACCTGCCACTTCGTGTGAAACTAAAGAACAGAGAGCGTACCCTGGAGTGGCTAAGATCAGGAAGGGGGGAATCTGGGCCTCTTAATTGCATACCCAGCATTCGTAGCACACTTTCAGTCCTCGCCCTCACTGAAATAGGCCTGTAAGCTGCTGTATAAGCAGCATTCCCCAACTGCGTATATAGGTTTTGATATGGAAGCGCTCCCTCCTGTGTACTGGCCTCCCTGTGCTATAGCAGAGACCCTGCTAAAGACTTGCTTTGGTTTTCCTGTAAACCATCTTATGATTTATTTTTTGGGTAGTGTGGGCTCTAAAAATCCTATAAATTTATTTGGGATTTTTATCTTTGGAATGCAGTTATTTCCAAAGAAAGACAAAACAAAAAGCAAAAAAAACCCAGAGCTGCTGTTAACACAAAGGAGGTCCAGAGAGCAGCAGCCAACAGAGACCAGCAGCAGATACCAGCACTCAGTAGGGTCAATCTACAGTGTCCAGCACAAGCTGGCATTGGACAGTGAAAGCCAGCAGCAGTAACCAGCAAGCAGCTGGCCGCGTCAACTGTAGGCAGCCAGCATCACCTGGTGCCATTGGCGCTGCTAGCAGAGCTGCCCTTTGCCAAGTCACGATTTCTATCTGAATCGAGCAAAAGAACCCTAGGTTGATTCGCAACAGAACAATTTGAGCAACAAAATGAAGTGGGATTGGATTTATAACCTAAGCCACGTAATAAATATCCATGAGTTCACACTGACGTGACCAAGCAGATGGGTGAATGAATAAATGGGAGTAGACAAATCTGTGCAGAATTCTAAATGATTTCTGTAGATAAGCCCTACTCTTTAAGGATGTGCTGTGTATAGTGACTTGTTTCCAAAGAGTGAAAAGGAGGGAAAAAGTAACTACCAAGAGGAAACCTGATAAACAGTAGCTAAGCCAGATGATACCATCACTAGCGTTAACCATGTTGGTAGCACATACCCTTAATAAGATGTGAGAAGAATGGCATTTACCCTGTGATCTTCCAAAAAGCCACTGTAATCATGAGAAAAAAACATACAAGTCCCAGCTGAGCCAATTCTGCAAAATACGTGACCAGTACCCCTCAAGACTATCAAGGTCATCAGAAACAAGGAAAGCCTGAGAAACTGTCAGAGGTAAAAAGAGCCTAAGGAGACGTGATACCCTAAACGGGACCCTGCACCGAAATGATGGGAAATCTGAATAAAGTATGGGCTTCAGTTAATACCGTATAATGAGTAGAATTCCTTCAAAGGGATCTTGAATATCTTACTTGCATTGTTGAAAGAGCACTGGCTTGGGGATCATAACCTGTAGCATTTTGGCCTCTCTGCTGTTTGGTAGTAATATAACCATTACACATAGCATTACCCTAGACTTCATTGTCCTAGTTCTATAAATTTGGGCTGTTATTCTTTCACAGTAATGGTAGAAGATTTGGGTACATTAATAAGTATAAAATACTTTGGAAAGCACATAAAATACTCAGCTGGGTGGCTTCAGTTTCTCAAAATTAAATGGGTCAGGCATTAGAAACAAAATTATTTCCTCTTCATATTTAAGAGATTTGGAAGTTCTGAGCTAAAGCTTTGCTTGTATGAGGAAGGAAAATAGGCGTGAAAGCCATGCCTGGTATAAGCCTGTAATCCCAGCACTTGGGAGGCTGAGGCGGTAGGATTGCCGCAAGATCAGAGCCAGCATGGGCTACAGTAGTGAGCTCAAGTTCTTCAGTTTCTGTGCTTGAGAAAACCATGCTTCTGGACCACACTGTGTGGAGCCATTAAAAAGATCCTAAGACCACACAGATCAGAAGAAAGGAATAGGGCTAAGTAACTGAGAAAATGCCTCCTCTTGATACTGATGTACTGTTCTACAGTGGCCATCTGGAAGGTAATGAATGTCCTGTAAAAGAGTTCAGTGTTTGTGTGAGGGCTGATCATAGAGCAGGTGGTGTGTGACCACATGGAGGAGATTATCGCCTTCCATTTGAAGGAAGCAGGGTTGGCCACAAAATAAAATTGCTGAAGTAAGTGCAAAGAGAAATTCTCATAGAATGCAGAGGAAAAGGCCGAAGAAATTAAAATGAACAAAGAAGAGAAAAAGGAATGTAGAGGGCCTCTCCAGGAGGGAGGATCTATGTGTAACAGGAATACTGGAAACAGAGCACAAAGCAATAAAGCTGAAATTGTAATTAAGGAAGTAATTGAAGAAAACTATCCAGAGTTGAAGAATGAAGTAGGCCTGCAAATGAAGAAGGCTCACAGGGTATCTTGAATGAGAAGAAAACAACACCTAGATAGATCCTCATTTGATTTCATGAGTAAAGAAAAAATTTTACAAGTAATCCAGACCAAGAAATCAGGTTACATATAAAGGGACAAAAGTCAGAGTGACCTGAGATATTTCTCTTGCACTTCTAAATGCCAGAACACAATGGAACAATGTCTTCGGAGTTTTAAGGGAAAATACTTTTGAATCGAACGGTAACACCCTGCCAAGTTAATATTTGTGTATGAAAACAACTGGAAGACATTCTCAGATACCAAGGGGTTAAGAAAGTGTATCAACTAAGAACCTCTGAAAATTTTGCTGAATTATTTACTGCAACCAGTAGAAAAAAAGAGTAGAGAGATAATTGTATGAAAGATTCGATGGTTAAAACTAACTAAGACCTGGGTGTGGTGGTACATGCCTGTAATCCCAGCACTCTGGAGACTGAGGCAGGAGGATCTCCATGAGTTCAAGGCCAGCCTGCACTACAGGGCAAGACTCTGTCCCTCGTTGGAGTTTGCAAATACTTCCAACCTAGTCATTCAAAGGCCAGTAGTATAACCTTATATGCCCTTGCTGACATCTTCATCTATTGCAGAATGTATAGCTATATGTGCTTTCAACTATAAATTATAAAAAATTAAAACATAAGATCCTGTCCATGTATTTCAATATTATGGTGTTTTGTTATTTGGTTGGTTGGTTTTGACACATGGTCTTGCTGTGTGGTTTGGACTGGCCTTGAACTCGCTACATAGCCCAGACTGGCCTCGAGCTTGCAGCTCCTTTTGCCTCAGCCTCCCAAGAGCTGGGATTACCTGCCTAAGCCACCACACCCTGCTCTTGTGATGTTTTATCATCTCAAGTTCTGTGCGTCTAAAGAAATAAAGACCTCTTGGATCCAGTTCACTGAATTTCTACTTTCTGATCAAATAAAGAGGAACTAGACAAAAGGATTGATCTTCTTTGATCTCCCCTCCCTGAAATTTTAGAAGGAAAAGAATCACCTGTGTTGTCACTGGAAATGGGCAGGTCCTGGCCCTCATTTTCTTTACTTTGTGATGCACAGATCTGGCATCGGGCTAGGTAGGCTCTTGAAGTTAAGAGCTCACCCTGTATTTGCCTTGCATTGTTCTAGCTGTCTCTGTCTTTCTCTGATGGTGTTCGCTCGTCAGCTTGGGCACAACCAGATAGCTTCTGTTACTTGAATGTTATCACTAAGCAGTGTATGTTCCCAGTTCTTTATTTCAGCATCTCAAAAATCCTTCAGTTTCATTTTGTGAGAGAGGGTAGTTACTTGAGTGAGTTTGGGGATCTTGGTACTAAAATGTACTCCTTGACTAGTTATAGTGTGGTTGGTTAGAAAGGAATGACAGCTGGGTCTAGAATGGACTTTGCTGGGCAGGAATATAGCTCAGTGGAATTGTGCCTGCCTGGCAAGCACAGTGTCTCAAGTTTGATTCCTGGTCTGCCCCTAAAAAAATAGAATTGGCTTTGCTACCTGCTAATGGGGCATTGTAGCAAGTTATGTACCCTTTTGTATCTCAGTTTCTCCAAAGGAACAATGGAAACAGTTACACTTCACTCACAGTTTTAAAATCATATAAAATATAAGTGAAAGTATTTTGAATTTGTTGAGTGCTGTGTGCGGGTGGCTCTCAGTGGTCTACGTGAAGGAAAATTTGAGCTAGAAGAAAGCAGCATTATGGCTAAGAATAGGTGCTTTGGAGTCAGACTTTCAACTTCCAACTCTGCTTCTTACCACCTGTGTCTTTGGTAGGCATCCTGCCCGACTATCATCTCTAAATAGAGATGAAAATTCCTCACAGGATCTCTAAGAGGATTAAATAACCTCATGTATATAAAGTACTCAGCACAGTGTAGAACACAGCAAATATCCAATAAATTATAGTTTCGATGATGGTGGTGATGGTTCTAGGCATGTATGTCTGATCTCAGCTCCTGGTTTAGACGTGCATGGCCTGCCTGGGTCATGTTGAGTGAAGAGGGCTGCAAATAAAACATACAATACAATTAATGTGTATAAGTCACAAAACTTCCCTTTTTAAAACATGATAACAAAGTGTGTCCAGTCTGCAGACCACGGGTTGGACATGCCTGATAGGGTTTGGCTAGGTGTTTCTTAAACTAAGAGGATAGAGCTGTGGGAGGATAGTCACAGAGATAATCATGAGCCAGCCTTGGTGGCATACAAACCCGTAACTACAGCTACTTAGAGGCTGTAGCAGGAGGATCATGAGTTTGAGACCAGCCTGGGCAACATAGGAAGACTGTCTGGAAAAAAAAAAAAAAAAAAAAAACTGGCCAGCTATGGTTGCACACCTATAATCCCAGCACTTGGGAGGTTGAGGCAGGGGGATCTCTGCAAGGTCAAGGCCAGCCAAACTACATAGCAAAACTGTCTCGGAAAAAAAAGAATCACCAGTTTCAGTCTCTCTACTTAGTACCTAAAATCATTTCTTCCAAACTGTATTTTCTGTGAGAGCCCTCAGAGACTCGATTGTCTCTGTCATTCCTCTAAATTGAGCAGCAGCCTCTCAGTGCTTCTTGCGGAACTTGTTAATGAGACTTTTCCCTACTTCTAAGTCCCCCGGGAAATCTGATTGCAAGATTGTGTTTATCCAGGAAAGTGGTGGTTGCGTGAAAATTTTGCCTTTTCTGTTGATGACCATGAGCTGCTGCTGAGGACAAAAAGGAGGGGACAAATAAGCTAAGGAAAACAAAATAAAGGAACAAGGAAAGATTTAATAAAACTAAAGATCTTTGTGAAGCAGGTTTCTCCTGGGCTGCCTCTCCTGTCTCCTGAGCCAGACCGGTCAGCACTTGTCTGAAGCAGGTGGCATTTCCCCTGCCCAAGTGAAGAGATTTCTTTCTAGCATGATGGCCCCTTCGCCTCTCTGCAGGGTCACTTACACTGCATTGCCTATTCCTTTGGGAATCCCTAAATAATTATTTCAACTTGATCCTCGTTGGAAAGACCCAAAACATTGAACTGCTGAATTGGGCACTAAAATGTCGATGGCACAGCCACCCCTGGGGTAGCTGCTCTGCTACTGTAGGTAACAGTAGGGTACAGCGCTCGAGATGATGAACAAATCATACAGCACCCAACATGAGTTACCTATTTCACTTAATCTGGGAAAGATTTGTCTCTGCAGTTATTGCACTAAAATCAGCAGCCCGCCCCAAAAGAATTCCTACCCCAGCTGTTGGCTTTAAAAGGAATCCGAAAGGCTTGAATTGTCAAGAGTCGATTAAGGTCAGCCTTAATTTAGCAGAAGGATGCCAGGGGATTCCCAGCACATCACTCAGGTTGTCCTTTCTAAATCAAGCTCAATGACAGAGCTTTTTGTCAAAGATCAGACAGTGGGGACCCTCAACTTCTGTTTCACATTTCCTTCTCAGAGATGGAAGTGCTTAGAAAGCAGTTATAGGGAGCGGATGAAAGGAGCATTTCCCACTCTGCACAGGGATTCTCACGCAGCGGGTCCAGTTTGGAGAATTGTCCCTTTGGTGTCCATTGAAGAGAAGCCAGACATCCCATCTAGTGGTGGAAGAAGAGAAAGCTGAAGGAGGAGCTTCCAGGAAAAAGCTTTTGTGGGCAAAGTGACAGGGCATGGGCCTCTCAGCAGGCGTCCTCTCTAGAACGTGACAGAGCCTGGCCATGGGGTGTCGGTGCTTTTTGAGTATGCCCGTGCTGGTTGGGGAGTGTGGGACACCACCCTTACAAAGCCGCTCAGCACACTGTCCTCACAGCAAAGCAGTCAGGTCAGCAGGTGGAACTGTCTGACTCTGAAGGCCGGACTCTCCCCCATCTCCACCCTCATGGAGAAAGAAAATGAACCCTGAGTCACACCTCTTTGTTTGCCTTGTGCCTCAATTTGCGACATCTATGGGTTTAAGAGCAAAGGTAGAATGTGAACTTTAAAAAAGGGAGAGTCAGGCAAAAGATCAAAGCCGTATTACTCAACACGGTAATCCAGAGAAGAATAAAATGATCCTGGTGTTCCCAGCAGCCGTACCCTATCCCTGAAAGTTGACCAACTGTCTTCAAAAAAGGGTCAAGGTAGTATCTAGTTGGCCTAGTTCCTGCAGTGTTGTGACGCCTTCCTAGTTACCGTTTCCCAACAGCTTCCTGATAAGTTCAGCTAAAGGGCCTGCTCTTTTCCTGCTCTTCACTCCCTTTTTTACCTTCTCTTTTCTCCCAGCTCTGGAAGAGTCATAAAATCATACAACCCTCATTTCCTGCAGTTCCAACTGCCGCTGTAAACCATAACCACTGCCTGCTTTCCAGCCATAGTGTATCCTCTTGATCCAAGTCTCCCGCTACCAACCCTGTGTGTGCTGCCCGCCCCCATCCCACCTGCAGTTTGTGCCACTCCTCTGCCCCTTGACAAGGAAGAAAAGACACAGAGCCCGGTTGTTTGCACACCTGCACTTTATTAGACTCAGCTAGCAGGCAGGCTCCAGCCATGCACACTTCTCGGACACCACCCGTAGCGTTTAGGAAGGTGCCGTCATTCTGTGAAGGCCAAGAGCCAGCCTGACCTAGAGCCCCAGGTGAATCCCAACCAGAGAGGAGAGAGAGGAGAAGGAAGCCGGGGATGGGAAGGGTAAGGCTCTGGGGGGAAGGGGGTGAGGTCAAGGGAAAGTTTGGTCCAGTGGCACCCTGAGGGCGCACTGCATCCTGGGAGAACACCGAGGGACTGGACGGAGGAGGTCCTTGTGCCGAGCAGCTCACATCTATATGGCAACTTTGAGGAGGCGCTTGATGTCAGGCTCAATGTTGATGGTGTGAAAGGCGCGGCTGTAGCGTCGGAAGGGCTCCCCCTCTGGTCCTATGAGGAACTTCTCGAAGTTCCAGGACACATCTGAGCGCCGCACTGGACTCCACATGATGAGCTTGGGATCCGTCATGAGGGAAAACGGGTCATCGTGAGGGTAGGGGAGCTTGTCCTTCAGGTAGGCGAAGACAGGGTGCTCGTTCTGCCCGTTCACCTCACACTTTTGGGCAAGAGTAAAGGTGGGCTGGAATCCACCCCCAGGGCGGACATACTTGAGACTGTTCAGGATCTCCTCATTTTGACAGTTCTCCTGGGGGCAGAAAAAGAACGCGGAAAGGGAAGGGGGAAATGAAGAACACACCGCCTGCAAATCTTTCCGCCTCCTTCACTCCCTTCCCAAGGTCATTATCCTCCCCTTCCCTCCCCCTCCCCTCCCCCTTTTCCTTTCTCACTGACACACTCCGCAGGGTGAGCTCTCCTTTTCCCTCTTGGAATGTTCTCCCTCCCGCTATTGCTTTACAGTGTGCTAGGCCGCTTCTGAGAGTTCTTACAGTTCTGAACTACATTATTATTATTGCACTTAGTGATCAGACTGACCCCAGCTGTCCCTGCACAGTTCTGGAGTTACCGTCTGAATCTTCCAGGAACCTTGAATTTAGGGCAGAGAAAGAAGAGGAAAGGGGTTCTTTTTTTTTTGGTCTTTTTGAGACAGGGTCTCACTATGCAGTTCAGGCTGGCCTTGAACTCACTTTGTAGCCCTTCAGGTCATATCATACTACCTAGAACGTGTCTATGACATACCTACCTGCACATGCACACGCCTGCATCCTCCCTACCGCCGCCCGTCCTCTGCCAGTCCGTGCCTACCTTGTTCCTAATGACATGTGTTGAGCGCTTTCTTTGACTTTGCTGCACTGAGCTTCTCAAAGCAAGGGTGGAAGTAAGGCCCATGGGAATGGGATCCAGAGCTTCTAGCTCTCATCCTGCCTTGTCCTAGAACTCAAGTGCAAATAGGAGCAAGCTTGTACCCCTCCAAGGAACTTCAGTTTTCAGATGCCATAAAGGTAAAGCAAGTTAGAGACAACAAAGAGTGTTCTCTACGTGGAACTGCTCAGCGACCAACAGGAATGAATCAAACAGGATAGAGGGTTTAAGGCCCTAGAATATGCATGTGGGTCAGTTGAGAAGTGCTTGAGGGCTAAAGTTCATTGTAATTTTCCTTCCACTTCTAGGCCCCTATCCATAGCACCTCGTCTTCACTCCCTGTATTCAACTATGAATGCTTTAATTTAGAAGCTATTACCTGTCTTTCCCTCCCTACAGCCATTCCTATCCTGTACCCACTCAGCGCTCCCCACCCTCAACAACCCCAAAGGCCTTATTTCCCACCTCCTCCTCTGCAGTCTGAAAGTCAGTACCTCCCTCTGAGAGAAAGTTCTGACCTAGAGGACTAATGAGTACAGTCAGTTCCGGGCCATCACCACACTCCTGAGCCTCGGCTGATCTCTGTTAGACTTTTTATCTCTTAGTGCATGGCTGGCCGGCTCCCGGTGGGTCATGGACTCCTTCCAGCAACCACCTAGCTCAAACATGTTATAAGGCCAAAAGCATCAGGGCTGGAGATGCCTTTGCCCTTTCTGTCTATCCTGCCCTGGCAAAGGCTGGAAAGAGAATGGAGAGGGAAGGAGAGTGAGGGCAGTCATGGTTTGGGCTCTGGCTGGTCAGTCAGTGACACCCCCCCCCCACTTACTCCTTGCCCTGTCCTTGCCTTCGTGCTACTGTGAACTAAGGGAATTAAATTCAGAAGGTTCACTTGGGGACATTTGGTCTGCTGGTACAGTTAAAATCAGCGAGAACTGGAAGGCCCTAGACCATAGCTCGAGTGTGCAGGCTGGTCTGACACAACCTGGCTTGTTGCAGAGACGGAGGACACATGTGTGCCCATGGGAGTCTTGTCCCTGTTGCGGTCCTTCCTCCTTTTTCCATATTCACTTTCCACTGCTGATTTGAACAAATGAGTCTTCAATCTAAGTAGCCAGTTTGTATTTGCGTAGTACTTTATATTGTTCTAGTTACTTCCGTATATCTTATCCCATTAACCTCGCAATAGCCCTCTGAATTGATATGAACTCCGGTTTACAGATGAGTAATGTAAGAAAAATTGAGTGCCCTTTCCAAAGGCGTAGAGCCATTAAAGAGCAGGACTAAGATCTCTTGAGTCAGTCCAATCCTAGTTTGATTCGCAACTTTCTTTTCTGTCCACTCATTCAACAAATATTTCATGAGACCCTTGGCAGCTGGCACTGAGGATACAACAGAGAGAAGGCCATACCTGGCGCTTTCCTTCATGGGACAGAGCGGGGTGGCAGTAATACAAACACACACCTTCAGTGTTTGCCCTCAAAACTTACCTAGCCCTCTTGGTATTCACACGTACCTGAAGACCTAGCTAGGGAAAATGCAACTCTAGACTGTAAAACACATGGTCATTCACCCCTTTCCGTCTCCTCCTGGTCACACTACGTCGGCCCCGGTTCCCTGGTACCACACAAGCACCAGCTCACCTGATGTCCAAATTGGTTGCAAGGGAAGCCAAGAACCACCAAGCGCCTGGGAAAGCGGCACTGCAGCTCGTTGAGCTGGGTGAAGTCCCGGGTGGTCGTGCCTCAGAGGGACGCCACATTCTCAATCAGCACCGCCCTGCCGCGGAACGTGTTGAAATCTATCTTCTCTCCGTCCAGACTGATGGCGCTGAGGTCGTAGAAGGACTTGGCGATGTAGGCCATGGTGAAGAGCAGAGTGTGCGGTGGCGTGAGCCCACTTAAAGGCCTTCGGAGAGGGTGGGGAGGAAGGAGGAGCTGCAAAGGACAGGCAGGATCGATCGCACGGCGAGCCTTGAGCGCTCCCTGAATGACTTTGCAGAAACAAGCACCCACCTGTGTGAGTTGTTTGAACAAGGAGGTTGCTCCTCCTCCTCCGAGACTGAACAAGGCCACCTGGCTGCCCCACCCTGCTGGCAGCCTGGAAAGGGCCCACTTGATATCTATGAGCAGACTTGAATAATTCACTACTTGCAGGAAACCAGAGCCCTAAAGGTCAAATGGGGAGGAAAAAAGGGAGGGAGGAAGGCAAGATTGACTTCTGCTTGCCGCAGCAAGTGACTTTCCTTTGGCACAGGTGTTTTTGGAGCGCATTCCTTGGGTTGTGGCGTGAGAGATCAAAGTCTGGCAAGATCTAAAAGCTGAGGAAGAGAACTGAGGCTCATGCCCACCTTATAGGATGAAATCTATACAACTATTCACATTTTTCTACTAGCTGTTGCTCTCTATCAGGTCAAAGGTACAAAAATCAAAGGGACCCACGAGGACAACGTGTCATTTTCAAGTGCCTCGGTTTGCACCTGGCAGAAGAGGTGCAGTTGTGTTTGTCTTGAAAAGTCTTTCAGTGGGTGGCACTCCTTGTCCTGCAGAACGCTCCTGCCCTTGTCTCTGCACTGTACCATCTCTGGTGTATAGCTCCCCTCCACCTTGCCCCCCACGCCAGAGTCATGAGGATGCAGCCGCTGCTGGGATAATGCTGACGAGTCACAGCACAGGTGGGTAGACTCCGGGCGGGTGAACCGTTGTACCCATCCTCCCCTCGGATGAAGCTGCAATCCAAGACCTCTCAGAGGGCCTTGTGCCATGCGTCTCCCCACGGGAGGAAGGGTGTGGGGAGGTGAAGCTGCTGAGGTGCCAGACCCAGGAGGGCAGCATTGCAGGACATCTCAGGACCTGCTGAGGACTGGTGCGGGGCTCCCTCCCATCAGATGCCTACAGAAACTAAAAAGACCCAGAGGCCCCTTCATTCTTCAAGCATCCTCCAGCTAAACAAATCACTTTTCAAGTCACTTTTTAAAAGTGCCTGGGGGCTGGGGATTTAGCTCAGTGGCACAGCGCCTGCCTGGCAAGCAGAAGGTCGTGAGTTCTATTCCTGGTACCGGAAGAAAAGACAAAACAAACAAAAATAAATAAATAATAAATAAAAGTGCCTGACTTCTCCATCAGCAAAACCAGTAAGTAGGCCTTCCCTGGCTCTGGGAAAGTTTTCAGTAACAAGGCAGCTGTTTCCCAGAGAGTGTTTTCACAAGTAGACATCTGCTGGGAACTGTCTCCTAGAGCAAAGCATGAGCAAGGCTGGGGGCAGCAGGCCTTGAGACTGATTTACTGAGGAGATGGAGGAGCTACGCACCAGGGAGCACCCCGCTTTTCCCTCTTGTCGCTTGTTCCGGGCTTTTCAAGTACATGGGAACCATGCGTCTCAGCTGGCTGCTCCCTAAAAGCAAGTTTCCATTACCCAAGTGGGTTGGGATCTTTTGCCACCAGACGGGAAGAGGATACAGAGTGAAGTGTGTCCTCTGCTGAGGCTCAGCGCAGTTCCTGCATGCAGCCGACAAACGTCTCTTCCAGTGCACCGAGTCGGAGGGACTTGGCACCCACACTGGGTGAAACCTTAACATTAACTTGCAGGGTTATCTGCTTGCCTAGGGCTCCTCCCAGTACCTGGGCTTCCAGAGAAACCTCCTCTTCGCGGCTCCTTTGCAAGCCCTGTGTAGGCAGGCCACAGGAGTGGCGAGGAACAGGAATGTGCTCTCCTTTCCACCAGCTTAAGGTAGGAGTCTCCCGCCCCTTACAATTAGCTACAGCTGATGGGGTGCGCCGACACCGCCTGTTTCCAGCTTTACGCCTACTGGCCTGGCTCTCCTGGGCATGTCCTGGCGACTGTGTGGCCCTCGCAGCCTTCTGCAGGGCGCTGGTTGCTTTCTGAAGCAGCACTGGCTGCTTGGTGGGTGGGGCTCAGTTCTGACTGCAGATGAGAATTGCTTATAGGGATTTTCCTAAATAGAAATGCTGTTACGTGGGGCCCTTCGGCAGATCTTTGAAGCTCTCCAAGCACCCTCATCCTTATCAATTGAACATCGATAAAGACAACCACCCTCTCTCTTACGCAGTGATTGTTAGGGTCAGAGGAGATAAAGTATCACAAGTGCTCAGTGAACTATAAAACGTGGTTAAGTTCTTAAGACTGCAATTGCCCCAGCCTGTTTTACTTCTTCCTTCTACCCTTACCCCATTTCCCACCTCCTCAGCAAAGCCCTGTGCCCAAGTAAAGTGTTATCTACAGAACCCTGGGGTTCCAGGCTTTGTCTGCTCCCCCGGGGTCTCCAGTCACAAACCTGCATGATTACTCAGTCCCACCTCACACTTTCAGGAAGAGTTGTTCCTCACCCATCCTAAACAGATGAAAACTGCTTCGCTTTAGAGACCTCGTTGCAGCTTATATCTCATTATCCCTCCAAAAGCTTCACGTGGTCATTAGTGAAGCTTTGGGAGGTGGCTGGATCTAGGGCGTGTGCTGCTGGTATCAAGGATGTGATGTTGCGATTAAGGACGACCCACCCTGGGTGTGTGTGCTACGTGCCCTAAGGGTGTGTAGCCTGGCTAGGATGTAAGGTACAGAAAGAATGTGGCTGCTTGTCACTTGTCCCTTTGCTACCTTCTGCCCTCCATGAAGTGTTTCTCCTCTGCTATGCCACTCTGCCTTGGAGCCAGCCGATTATGCACTGAAACCTCTACAAGTGGAGCTGAAATAAACCTTTCTTTCCTCCTTTAGCTTTGGGTGTCGGGTAGTTTCAATGAGGAGAAAAATAACCGACACCCCCCAAACTTGGGTGTTCAGCACCTTCCAGTGACCGTGCCTAATCTTATTTCTGCAGTGGGGACTGGGCTTTGGGCCCCCCTGCAGCGGGGCACTAGGGAAGGCATGACACTGAAGACATGGTTCGCCACTTGCACTGTCACTGTTACTGCCGATTTAGCATTCTGGGCACATGTCAGGACTCGCTCTCCTGCCCCCACTTCACCGCCAGGCTCCCGTGAGACCTCCTCCCAGGGCCTAACACAGCGGCCACACTTGTGGTTTGAAGTATTCTTTATTTTGTAAACATCTGTGTTTAAAATAGATGAACCCTGCTCACGATTCATATAATGGACCCGAGACACAGCACACAAAGTTCACCTGTCACAGGGAGATGGTGGGGCTCAGGAGCAGGTGGTATCCAGGGGCCAGGCTGAGTCTCAAGACACAGGGGCGGAGGGGTGCCAAGAAGACAGGCCAGGAAGGCCTGCTCAACAGTCTAGGCCAAATGACCCTTCCCGGCCACCTCCGGGACAGGAGTGCAGGGGACAGAGGCCAACTCTGGTTCCGGTGAGTGCGGCTGCACCCTGAAATCCCAGCCCTCTTCGCTTCCAGACCTGTTCCCAGCTACAGCCCTGGTGGAGGGGCCTCATTGGTCCATGTCTTCCCTTCCAGACCTTTAGAGTACAATAAAAATATAATCCTTCTTTCCTGAGGGGGCTCGGAGAGAAAGACAGTGGTGCGCTGCCTGATCTCCAGGGAAAGCGGCGACGCTGGCCCAGTGGGAGCAGCGCCTAGTGTAACTTCTCCTTTCTCAGCTCCCCGGCTGAGGGCACACTGAGACCTGGCATCTCCACCCTGCCCCGCTCCACAGGCCTGCACGAGTCAGTCCTTGCGGAAGCAGCCCGAGCCACCACGGCTTCATCCTAAGGCATCAGGCTCAGTTTCTCATTGGCCAATGACTTATGCCTATTTCCGCTCCTTTTCCGCCCACCATGCTCACCTCTCCTCCACCCTAAACCCTGAGCCGCCCTCTCCTCCCCAGGTTTGGGAAGAGCCAGGAGGAAAAGTGCAGTGACTTTATCTTCGCTTCCTTCTTTGGAGGAATAAGGAAGTGGCCCCTGCTGCATCTTGGCTGGGGAATGCTCGGTCCCTGGTTCGTTCTTTTGGCTCCAGCCCCAGACACTGTGCAGCTGAGGAACCAGCCTCTTCCCTGGGCTTCCCCCACCTTGGGAAGGTGACCCGATAACTGACAGACTCCTTCAAGCTCCTCTTGGGCTGCGGAGGTCGAAGAACCTTCCTGAACATGAAGTCAGGAGGAGGGAGTCCGCTTCCCTGCCCTGGCAGCCACCGTGCACTGGGCAGACCCTCAAGCCCACAAAGGAGCGGGAGGGCCAGATAAGCACTCTGTCTTGAAGGCTGGAGAAGACGGCACCAGGGCCATCTTTCCTCTTCCCATGACATCGCTGCTGGGGCCCAGGAAACCTTGGTTTCTGTCAAACAGCGACGTGGTGACGTCACCTCTCACCTCTGCCAGGGACTCAGGGGAAAAATTCGTACACAAGCAAGGAAGAGGGGCCCAGGAGGCCTTGCTGCTGCCGCGTCCCCTCTGCTTTGCGACTTGCTGTCCCTGGCCTGCTTGCTTCTGCTCTGACTGACATCTAGCAGCTAGGCTTTCACTTCCTCCTGGAGTACGTGGGGCCTGACAATGTCACCGGCCCCAGGACTCTCCTTGCCACTCGGGCACTCAGGCCCTGGTACCCGTCCTGACACTCAGGAGCCCAGGGGAGGGAAGTTATGTACATGCTGCGTGAGAGGTAGTGCATGGAGGTGACTTTTTACCCCTGCCACCCCTCATCATTTTCTCCTCTTCTCTGAAGCAGCGTCTGAGCTCAGGTCCCCACAGAGATGGGGCAGCGGAGCAGGGCCAGAGCTCAGGCAGGGGGAGCAGGCAGAGGCAGGACAGCCCTAGGCCTGAGGACCCCCAGGTGGCGTTCCTTCCTACCTCCGTGGTCCTCAGGGAGGCAGGCCCATGGCACAGGAAGGGGCAGTGGGGAGAGGAGGAGGAAGCACCCTTAGCCTCGGCCCACCCAGGGCAGGGTGGGGTCCTCCCTGGGGCGGGAGCTGGAACTGCCCACGAGCCCGGGCCGCCGCCTTCGCTGCGTCGGAAGGAAGGAGCTACTCCAGCAGCCACACAGCAAGACCCAGGCAGTGCACAGGAGGGGCCTCGGCAGAGCACCCGCGGGAGGCGACGGGGAGTGGGAAGAGGAGAAAGCGGGGCAGACAAGATGCACTGGGAAAGAAGGGGATTTCAACGGCTCCACTGCAGCCCCCGCCACGGCGCGGGGGGCGGGGGGCGGGGCGGTGCTCGCAGCACACTCTGGGTCACAGCAGGCGAAGGGTGCCGCTCCGGGGTGGACACGACGGCAGAGTCGCTCTCAGGGCCAGGCAGGGGCACGCAGCAGCAGCTACTGGTCCACAGGTCATCAGAGGAGAGGGCAGTGGCGGGCAAAGCCCAGGCTCCCGTCTCCCCACAGGCCTCCCAAGAGAAGGGGTTTGTGGGGGGCGCCCCACATAGGCCCCTCAGCACCAGCAGGTTTTCGAAGAGTTCACAGGGCCCTCCGGTTTGCCCTCCTCTTCCTCCAGCTCTGCCAAGGCCAGTTCGTTGCTAGCACGCGTCCGGAGACCATCCAGCTCCTTCCTGTGGGCCTGCAGCACCAGCTCCGTCAGACGCGTGAAGGACTGGAAACCAAGGGCGCAGTTAGCCGGGCGCCCGTCTCGCCCCCGGCAGCCCTGCAGCGGCCGGCCGAGGTCTACGGGCCTCCTCCTCCTGCCTCCCCTCCACGCCTCTCACCTCTTTGATGTTGAGGTTGGTGCAGGCACTTGTTTCGTAGAAGTCCATGCCGTACTCCCTCGCCAGCTGCAAGAGAAGGGCCCTTCTGAAAGGAAGTAGGAGGAGGCGCCGCCCCGGCACGCACTCCTGCCACTGCTGTCGCGGACCGTGCTGTGTTGTGACAGTTTCTCATGAGACTGCACGCTCCTCCCGAGACACAGGCTGGCAGAGAAGGAGGGCACCGCCCAAATGCGCGCCATCCCTCCAACCCCCCCAGACACCTCCTACAACACCCTCGATGCATCAGGACACAAAGGCAGCGGCACGCAGTGGCCATAAGCCTGGTCCGTGCGAACGCGGGCTGGGAGTGCCGGGCCCAGGCTGCACCACCTCGGGGAGACGCGCTTTCCCTCAGCCCAGCGTCCTCCTCTGTTACGGGGAGGGGCGTGTCCACTGTGGAGCAAGCGGGGTCGCGCACCGAGGGCCTGCCTTAGCACAGACCACACAGTGCTCAGTGGACACCACTATCCCAGGAGGGCTGCCTCCACTTTCGCGCTTTTCAGTGACCGCTTATTACTTCTTACACCCCCAAATCGATGCTCCTGTAAGGGCTAATGGAACGGGACTGACTGAAGAGGGCGAGGAAAACTCTCGAGGCCCTCAGAGTAGGGGGTTCCTCCTGGCTCCGAGCATCCGTCTCTCTCTGTTCTCCGGCACGGTGGGCTTCCCGCGTGCTTGGATACTTTCCTCCATCTTCTTCCCTCCCTGCTTCTCCAGCCGCGGGGCCTGCACGCCCTCGCCCCCTCCCCGCCCCAGGCGCCTGGCGCGGTCTCGGAGGTGCGGATCCTAAAGTCGGTGGCTACAGCTGGTAGCTACGCCCCGTGCCACTGGAGAGGACGCCGGCAGGGCATCCTTCCTTGTCACTCCCACAGGGATGATCTCGCACAGAGAGGTCTTTGTTTCTACGTGGGCTCGGATCACTGTCTTGAAGGACACACAGCAGACTTCCGAGATGGCAACGCCCGCCTCCCATCCCCTGTGCCTGAGGGTGCTGTGGATTTGGCAGGGGACCCAGTTCTGGGGAGCACTCCAGGGTACCTGCTCTCAGGATGGCCCGGACAGGCGGCAGAAGACCCAAGGGGTGCGCTGTGCTCACCTGCTGCCCTTGCTCTCGCCCCACCTGCCGCTTCTGCTCTTCATCAGCTTTGTTCCCTATGAGGATCTTCTGGACACCTTCCGGCGCATACTACGGCAAAGGACAGGCAGAGCTGCCGGTGAGAGCTGCCCTCCCCTCCCGCCTCCCCACAGGCTCTGCCCTGGCCTCCAAGCCACCGCCACGCCTCAGAGCACAGGGACAGGCGGAAAAGGCTGCCCGGACGCAGGTGCCAGGCTCCCCTGAGTACGGAACACCCCCCCACACACACAGTTTTGCTTTCCACAATTTTAGTCAGCTTGCAGTCAACCATGGTCTAAAAATTAAGAAATGGAAAATTCCAGAAATAAACAATTCATAAGTTTTTAGTAACTTTGTTATCGTAATTGCTCTATTTTAGTATTAATTATTGTTATCTCTTCCTGTGCCTCGTTTACAAATTAGTTTTTATAATAGCTATCCATGTATAAGAAAAACACAGTAGGTGAAGGGTGGGTACTATCCAAGTTTGGGTCGTCCCCTGGCCTTCTTGGACTGTCCCCTGGAAGATAAGTGCGGACTACTATACCGCGGCTGATCCCAGGAGTGTCACAGGGACAGCTAGGGTAGCAGACACTCTGGCTGATAATAATGCCTTGCTGGGTTGAACAAGTGCTACCTGAGCGGGAAGGGACACAAGACTTTAAGTCCAGCCCCTGTCTGGCAGACAGCGCAGTAGGACCCCAAGAGTTCCGACGGCCTGCCCAGTGTGCTGGGCCCAGAAGCCCAGCCTTGCAGTTCCACCTGCTCCTGAGACTTCAGGAGGACAGATGCTCACAGGGTGGGCTTGCAACTAACTCCTTTCCAGCGTGGCACAGAGCATGGAGCAGGCACGTCACTTCCTCCGGCTGACTTGCTCAGCCACAGGTCTTCATCCAGGGCTGTGGGGAGTAAGATTTCCTGGCAGCATTTCCTCGCCCACCCTGAGCGCTTCACTTCCAGGCTGACCCTCGCTTTGCCTTCCTCACCCTGTCAGCGGGGCGGCATCTCCTACCTCATCCACGTCACTGACCCACTTCATGATGTGTTGGTAAGACCGCTCACTGCTGATGTCGTACACTAAAAAGATCCCCTGAGAGGGAGAGAAAAAGAGAGCGGGAGAGGCGGGTGGGAGACACACACAGACAGTACAGTTGGGGCCAGAGTGAGGTCCTTATAGACGGACCCCTCCATCCTCTCTGCGTAGCGTGAGGACCCCTGGGCATCCAGAAATGCCTCTGCTTTCAGGCCCCAGCAGCTGGCATCCTGTGACCCTACAGAACTCTGGGTAGGAAGGCACCACATGCTGTGCCCTGGGCCCTTGGTCCAGAATCCAAGGTGGAAACTAGGGGGTGGGAGAGGGACCTGCCTACAGCAAGTGCACACTGAGTTATGTAGTGAGGGATCTCCCAGCAACTGAAAGACTGCCCTGCGGGCAACCTGAGGGCCCAGTTCTCAGGGGCAGTGACAGAGACACCTCGAACACCCAGAGCTGGGTGAGCAGGTGACAGCTTCCCACCTCTAAGCCCTGAAAGTGGTGGCTCACCTGGGCGCGTCGATAGTACTGCTTTGTGATGGTCTGGTATCTCTCCTGCCCCGCTGTGTCCCTGCAGTAGAAAGCCAGTCCCTCAGAGGAGCAGGAACCAAGGAACAGATGGGGAGGGGAGAGAAGGAACTGGGAGACTGTGCCCTTGCAGGAGAAACTGGGGAGCTGCAGGGTGAAAAATCAGGGGTGCTTTGGTCCCCACAGGAATCGGAACACACCTGACTGCCATGAGAGGTCTGGTCTCCTCTACTGGCGCTGGCAAGACCTGCAGGCCCTTGGCCTCTCTATCCACACCTGGACCCACAACCGGCTTGGTTATAACTGAGTCTTGAACAACTCTCTTCTTGAATTTGGCCACTGGGGCCAGACTTGTTATATAGGTGGAGGCTGCTATACCCCCAGGAGGGCAATGCCCGTGCCCTTGCAAGATGGGGAGCTAGCTCCACAACTACTGCAAAGGCAGCACTTCCCAGAAACTTCAGGCCAGAGAGCCACAGCAGCCTCTGGTGGCTACTGCTGGAAACTGCACCATGCAGTAGGAGGAGCTCAGGGTCCCACCCTAGGAGATGGGATGGAGCTTTGCATCCTTAACCACAGTGTGGCCCAGCCTGAGGGTAAAGCCTAATTGTAAACCAAACCCACAATGGGCAGTTTATCATTTCCTTCTCATTCCTGCCCTTTGGTGACTTGTGATCAATCCCACAGTCTCCTAAGAAAGGGTCAGCGGTTAAGCTCCTGGGAGCAGGAGATGGGCTTTCTGACTTCTCGCCTTCACAGTGGTGTCCACTTATCCCAGAGGAGACTGAGGGATCTTATGGCAGGGGCAGTAAGGAGCAGCCTGGGGTCCTCTCCTCCTCTGCCTGCCTCCTCCCCCCGCCCAACTTACCAAATCTGTATCCGTACTTTGATGCCATCTACCTCTATGGTCTTCATCTTAAAGTCAACACCTGAGGAAAGAGAGTGAGCAAGAAAGTTAGGAAGGGCACCTGCTGAAAGCTGATTAGGAAAAGCCCACGGTGCTCACATTTGAGGGATTGTCTTTTGACTCAATGTGGTAGAGATGGCATAAGGCGGTGATGGCGAACCTTTTAGAGCTTTCAGTGATAACAAACAGCTGGCTGTGACATGTGTGCCAGAGGTTCGCCACCATTGGTATAAATAAGAAAGGCTGATCCTAAGAAAGTGTCCCGAGCTTCCCTTCCTGAACTGAACTGAACTGAACTGAAAGTTGCCAGCAATAAAAGACTGGAGGGAAACAGGGAGGCAGAAGGGAGACTGGAGTTGTGTTTCATTTTACTCACATAAAATGACCCTTCCTATTTATACTGCTGAAGAGACCACTGCTTTTATCGTTCCCGAATCCCTAGGAATTGCAATCCACATCATCTGCCTGGGTCCCTCCGGCCGCTGTCTCATTAACAACCAGCAGGGGGTGTGGCACAAGCACAACGTGGGGAAGAACGGACTGTGCAGAGGACTGTTGTGAGCCTGAGGCTGTGCGCAAAGTCTCAGCACCCTGCAAGGGCCCCCCAGGAGGCCTCTGTGCATCTCTGTTGCTGACTCACCCCCTTGACCGCAGGGGGCGCTGTTGTTTACTACGGGAGCAGGAGCTTTGCAGGGGGAGTCTTAGCCACTTAACTCATAACTGTACTTTGGGTACCCTGATTGTCCAAGCCCCCATTTCCTCAGGAGTAGAAACGGACGTTATGAGTCATCTCGGAGGGCTGCTGAGAAGACCACACGAAACCCAGCACCTGCCTGCATAATCCACTGCGGCCATCATCAGACCCTAGCACCGTGGCTGGATGGAGGGGCGGGCAGGAGCCTCCGGCACCTGCCCGCATGAGCAAGCACAGCAGGGAGTGTCCTGGGGGTGGCACAGGAAGCAGAGTTCTCTGGCAGCTCTGCCCAGGGGCTTGAGGAGCTAAGCTACAAGACGCAGGAAACACGGGGCATTTGCAAACCTGCCCAAGGCAGAAACACAGAAACACCTGGGGAAATCTGCAGCAAAGGAAGCCAGCGCCCACCTACAGCACTCACACTCACAGAGCAGAGGGGTGTTTCAGCCCCCGCCCCTAACTGGCTCAGTGATTCCAGGACTGTGTCTAGCAGGGAACACAAGCCGGTCTTAACGCTTTCCCTGGAGGCAGGTCCGGCGGGGTATTACAAAGGGGACGTGGGAAGGGGAGGGTTGTGGGCCCTCTGTCGCCACACCGCACACCCAGTGCGAAGGGCCCCACGGACACCAGCTTCCCAACGCCACCGCCATTCACCCTTCGCAGCAGCGCTCTGCCCAGCGGGAAAACACGTCCTCTCATCCGTCCCGTCCCCAGCGTCCCTCACAGGTAGGCTGATCAAATTCAGCCTCTCCCTTCCCAACATCAAGCCCAATCATCGTTTAATTAGAAGGCAGAAACACTCAGAATGGGCGAGCTGCACTAAGTCACGCTGGTCAGGCATGAATCACTTTCTCCCGCCCAAGCTGATTCACATCTACTGAGCTGTACTTTTCCAAGTGGGCAGCGTCTGGCAGCGTCCTTTTCGTGCACAGAGAGAGAACGACAAGAGGAGGAGGGAAGGAGGGGACACCTGGCCTTGCTGGTGGCAGAAGCAGGCTTGCTCCCTCCCCAGACAAACGGCTATCAGGAATTTGCTTCTCGCCAGCACCTGGCAGAGAAGAGAATCGGAAATTGATGGTATAGTGCCTCTTTCCAAGAACAGCATGCGTCAAACCACTGGGAGAAATATTTACAAAACGTACATCTAGATTTCTTTTTTGCCTTTTTTTGAGACAGGGTCTCGCTATGCACTTCAGGCTGGCCTTGAGCTCACTTTGCAGCCCAGGCTGCTCTTGAACTTGCAACGATCCTCCTGCTTCAGTCTCCTGAGTGCTGGGATTACAGGCGTCCACCATCATGCCTGGCGCACGTCTAGATTATAGAACTCTCAAAAACAACACAACTTCAAAGATGGGCAAATAAGCAAAACATATGCAATATGTGATATGGACAAGAAGCACACAGTGCTGGGCATGGTAGTGCATACTTGTAATCCCAGCACTTGGGAGGCTGAGGCAGGAGGATCACCGCAAGTAAGGAAATAAGCACAGAAGGATGTGCTCAACATCAATAGAGTTAAAAAAGAAAGGCTCTATTCTTGACATTGACCTCTGATAGAAGAATCCCAGGCCTCCCCTCTCCTCTTTGGCCCACCTCCAGGGAACTCAATAAGAAAGCCCACATATACCATCTCCCCCGTGGAAATTTCAAACCACCCACCTGACTGGCAGGACAAGGGTACCCTATCCAGGCTGTATCCCGATCACACAAAACATCCCAAACCACCAACCCCTCCCTCACTCCACTCCAGAGCAAACGTGAGCCCTTCTCCAGGTGAATCTTCCGTGAGGTGCTGTATGAGTGATAAACGTTATTTCTCATATAAAAGGGGTGCCACCCAAAGTGGTCACAAGGAGAGAGGGAGATGAAGGTTTTATCTCCTTTACTGCACAATGTTTATGGGAACACTGTGCCCTGCGCAGTTTTCCGTGTAAACAGAGCAGCAAAGCCAACCTATGATCCTTGTGCTCATAGAGGGTAGCAGAATAGAAACAAAGGCCTGGAGAGGGAATAACTCCAAAACTGGCACGGCAGGTAGCAGAGATTCACACACAGGCCAGTCTGGCGTCGGAGCCCTTGCTCCCCGTTGCCCTGATTCTGGGGGAAAGAGAAGAGCACTAGCTCGGCACAGACACCACAACCATGCTGGGTTTCCTGTTCCCCTGTGGGTCCCTGAGAACGGCTCTTCCGGAAGAGAAGTGCCCCATATTAAGGGGGCTTTTTCCCTGGGAGAGAATAGGGGAGAGAGGGAGAGATAAAAGCAGCTGTCAGAAGAGGTGGAAGGGACCAGCAGCAGACTTGGAACTACCCTGGAAGGGAGTGCAGGGCTCGATTCCTCACTTCCAGGTTGTGTGGCCAGGAGCTCAAGTTAGGGAATTCTGGGGCTCACAGCAACGCCAACACACACTGGCCTACAACCCATGCCCTACTGACCACCCAATGAATTTTGTTTTAACATGTCTGAGAAGTAAAATGCTTCAATTTTTTTTTTCTTGCTCTGTACCCCTGGCTGGCTTTGAACTCACGGTGATTTTCCTGCCTCAGCCTCCTGAGTGCTGAGATTACGGACCTGTGCCACCACGCCGGCCTAAAATGCTTCAATTTAGGCTGTTCATATGCATTAATATATCATGGAAGAAACAGTAAATTTCTCTTTTGAAGGATTTCCTGAAGCCAGGTGTGGTGACCTGTAATCTCAGCATTCAGGAGGCTGAGGCAGGAGGATTGCTGTGAATTTGAGGCCAGCCTGGGCTATATGGTAAGTTCAAGGCCAGCTTGGACTACGAAACAAAACACAAAAACCAACAAATGAAGGATTTCCCCCAACTTTTTCTTTATAAAAAAAGGATAAGAGCCCACAGATTTTCCAGGAGCAGGTGTTTGTTCTATTTTCTGTTCCCACACAGGCCAGGTCTTCCCGTGCCCATTGCCACAGTGAAGCCCTCACCCTTTCTCCCCCTGGCCTGGCCGTGGTCTCTGACTGCTGCTCTGTAAGACAGAGCTGGATGGGGCACACCGAGTCCGTAGGCCGCATCCTCCTGCCAATCCCCACAGCCAACTGTCCTCCCCAGCAGACTCGGGTGAGGCCAAAGGTGGCGGCCCTGCTCACCGCGGAGTGAGGTCACCTCCCCACCGCTAGCCTCATTCCTCACTTTCCACCCTGTGCCTTCCTCGTTCTTCAAGGCTCCCCCAGCTGTCCTTATCCTCCGCCCTCGGTGCACACTCCAGCAGCCCCTCCTCAACGATTCCAGATCCTCGGGAGGAGAAGCCGCTGTGCTGTGCGCCTCCCCCGTCCTTTGTTCTTTTGGGCTTCTCTAAGGCGCCCTAACGGTGCGCACAAACCACCTGCGACACCATGAGAATGCAGCCTTGGGTGCAGTGGGTGTGCAACGAGGCCTGAGAAGCTGCACTTGGCTTCCAGAGACTCTGAGGCTACTGGTCCACGGGTCCTGCTGTGAGCAGCAAAATTCAGTGACAGAGGTCCTCAGAGTGTCCCCAGACCTGAGCACCTGGGACGCTAAATTAGAAAGGCAAAGGCCTGGGCCCTAACTCACACCCACAGGCCCAGACCCCGGGCTCCACGGCAACCAGCTCTCCAGGAAAGGGCTGAGTCTGGGCAAAAGCGCTGGACCTCAGGGGAGGCAGCAGGAGTCTCTGCTGCTCACGGTGAGCTTTGCGGAGCCTCAGCTTGAGAATCACCCCGGAGGCTTTTCCCTAAGGCGGCTGCCCTGGCTTGCCACCACCTAGTGAATCGTAACTGAGCAAGGCCCAGGAACCCGTGTGTTTACCAGCTCTGGGAAGCAGGGTGGGAGAGCGCACAGAGGAACGCGAGCGCCCTAGGGCAGTGGGAGATGCACGCACTGGCACCGGGGCCAGGGAGCCCGCGTTGACGCCCCGGTTTGGGCATTTGCTGTGCAGCGGGACCCGTCTTCCCTGTAGAAGGAAGACTCCACTGCCACCTGGGATCTGCTGTGGGATATAATTAAACAGCGCTCACAAAGCACCTGACTCACCCTCGTTCTCCCGCCTACCTTTCCTCTGCCGAATAAAGACTCCCCTGGGAGAGTCAGGAGAGGAAACCCAGGGGAAGCTGATGTAGAAAAGGCCTTACATGGCCCAGGCCAGGGGTGGCGAACCTAGGACACGCGCACTGCAGAGGGCTGTTTGTTATCAATGAAAACTCCAAAGGTTCCCCATCACTAGTCTAGGCCCTGGCTACTCTGCTACTCTGCCAGGTCTCAGCCCCATGAGGGAGCCTGAGATGCAGATCCTCAGGGCTCCCCAGATCTACCTTTTTGCTTTGTTGTTTGTTTGTTTGTTTGTTTATT